TGCGTTACTCTACACCCTGGCCGGATACTTTAGGAATCATTCTGGTAAGACTCAACTGGAGGTTGATTTTTTTTTTAATTTCTTTACTTTAAGAAAATATATGCGATATTTGGCCGTTCCTTATTAACATTACCTCAAACTCATGTTTCAAAATCTGTTCACCTTTTTGTCAACAAAGACAAAACGAGGAAGATTTGATTCAAACTGCTTTAAGGAGAATTTAATTGCATTTTATTTTGCTGGAAAATTAGAATCTTGAATACATTTATCTTTTTTTTGTACTAAAATTAACTCAGCGCAAGGCTCAAGAGCCACTCACGGAAGAGGGTTACTCAATGAAGTATGTGATATGAATGTAAGAGGCGGTCTGTCTATATTTCTGAAATAAGGTATTGTAAATATTTACACTAGTTACATTGTTCGGACTGTTGTCTTCATCTTTGTTGCCATATTCCCGACGTTTCAACCATTGTACGCTCCGACCTTCCCCAGGCTATTAGAATTCCGAATCGAACCCTTTATTTAGCCCACCGCGTTAGAGTGTTCTAGTTCCACGTTCCATTCCTCTTCTGGGTATCTTGGTTTCAGTTTCCCTCAAGGACACATGGCCCAGTGGCTAAAAGCATTGGTTGACGTAATCCAGTGACTTGACCCAAACGGTTGTGAGTTCGATCCCTGGCATGGCATTTAGAACTAGAACAATCTATCCCGGTGGATGAAATAAAGTGTTCGATTCGAAATTCCAATCACCTGAAGAAGTCCGGGGCATACATCCGTCGTGTATATCGTAACAAAGATGAGGACAACAGCCCGAACAATGTAAATGGTGTAAATAAGAGGAAATATACAGGAGTAAAGATTATGAGAATAAAGAAGATAGATAGCGACTGACCGTTAAGTTGAAGAGGGTTTAAGATTATAGTGTTCTGGGGAAAAATTCACGTGGAAGTCGATTCCACAAAGCAACATTTTTTGGGAAAAGGCTATTTGAGTGGACCTGCTTTTTTACAAACTGAATAGGGGAAAAATGTAGGTGATTCGACTCCATGGACGTAGCATGGCGAGCGATCGTATTCAGTCACGAAGACGCAAAAGAAATTATCTAGATTTATTTTAACGTGTATTTTTCACAGCTAATTGTGTTGCTAAGCAACAAGATGGCAGACAGAAATTTTATGGAATCCGGGAAAAGACGGCCGTTTCTTTTTGTCTGAATTTCTAAAATGAGATTTTGGTACAATTTTTAGGTTGTATTCGGAAATAATTTTGTTTTTTGGTTTGTTTTTCTTACTTAGTTTTTATAATATTTTAGTTACTGTACTTTCGAACCTTATCCAACATCTGTCACACTTGGTAGACTTCCGGGAAAGGCAAACAGAATTATTTATTTGATCCCCGGAAGTGTATTATCTTAATTCCTTTGTCTCTCACGTCTAGTGTCTTTCCGACAGTATTTTAGAATTCCTCATAATCAATTATTCTTTATGATTCTTTTAAGTTGTTCAGTTAAATCTTGAAAGAAAAGAATCACATCACATGGATTAAAATACATTTTTTAAGATTTCGACATCAGAAAATATTCATATTTTTAAAATAAAGATCAATGGGAAAAAGAGGTTTAAAAAGAACATCAATATGGAAATTCTTATTGAAATAATTTTTTAAAACCTCATGAAAAACGCGATTCCAAATATCACAGGTTTTAATCTTGCTTCCTTTTTTGAAACTTTTTAACACCAAAACATTTCCTGATTTGTTTTATTTTCCAATATTTTCTTCAGAATTTATATCGCAAGAGAGAGGAATATTCTTTTAATTGGAACCAACGTTTTCTCGTGAAATCTTTCGTCTTGAGTCCTCTTATACTCTTAACGTCTCCGCCGAAACTCCGAGATTTTATTTACTATTTAATTTTTTCTTCAGAAGGAGTAGATTGGTTCACCTGTCGTCTGGTTCACCCTCTATTCCGATCTTTTGAAGAGAAGTAGAAGTTTTCCTGTTTAAGATTGTGTTTCCGATTCCTTCTAAAGTGTTTTTCATTTTCTTTCACTCCCAGTAACCCCTTGCATCTTAGTAATTCTATCACCTTCCTTAGGAGGAATTGATTTTTAAAAAAAGTACGATGGTCAAAGTTTCCACTGCTACATCAAGCTTGTTTGACATTCTTAGACACGGCCCATTCTTCTCTGTTACTCATAGTGATCTTCATTTCAGAGATGGGAAGAATTTGGCTATAGAATTCCTTGTTTGGCAATTGTTGACGCCACAAGATGTTAAGGGTTGTTAGAAGCATTCCAGTGTGGGATGTTTATTGTTTTCTCCATTGATAATGCCAGACTCCAAGTGGATGATTTATAGGCAAGAAGGGATTCAACAGTAGAACGGAAGAATCCAACCAACATTTCTTGGTGGAGGCCCGATTCTCATGCCCTGTCAAGTTTGTTAAGGGCATCCCAGCCTTAACCAATTCTGATGAATAAGCCATTTTTAGAGCTTACAATATAGTCCCTTGTGTATTTAGAATCACTGACAAATTTAATTTGTTCTTCGCTTCCAGAAAATATGACATTGTCTATACTTTGGTTATATATTCAATTTTAGGTTTAGTTTATTTTGTATTACGGCATATCAAATTGAACTGATTATTAAATGCCGACAAGTTTTTTAGGGTAGGTTCGTATGAAAAGAATATGTATGTAATAAATCACTTTCTAGATAAAGTTTCATTGATGTATTTTTTGTAACGAGCATTTGTAAAGAAAGTCAAATTGCTGGTAATATTTGTTTGTTTTGTTTTTTTTAAATGTATTGCTAATAATATTTTTATTTTTATTTCAAAAATGTATTGCGGTTATTTTTATTATAAAAATCTATTTATACTTACATAGTGTTTTGACCCCAGTTTTAGGGTTAACTATTTGCACATAGATGGGACCCTAATAGGTGCTACCACCATGGGTCAGAGTGGACCTAGGAAGAACATCAATTAAGAGGTGCTTCCACGCTCTCCGCAAAACCTCCCGATCAGAGACCTTACTGCCGGATGTAGTTTATCGTCATACCCTGGACGACCCAGTTTTAAAATATTGATTGAGGAATTAATTAAATAAACAACACAATGCAAAAAACAGATTGGTAAAAAATGTCCTGTGTCGTAAGTTAATGGCTATTATTATGCTCCCTGTCATTTCTAATCAGGTTCTTTTTTTTTTGTCTTCTTGTCACGTGATTCAAACGCATTGATAAATTCACAATCAACATCGGATGACATCATAACAAAGTACTTATCATTACTTATTAATAATTATGATTCATAATTATTATTCTTTCAAGGACTTTCCAGAGTTTTCTATTTGTTTCAGTGATTGGTGTTTAGTGTTTGAAATGGCAAACACTAAACACCGAGTCAAATCCAACTTGGCGTGATATTTCAACCAGTCTGCCGACCGTTTGGAATTTGCTATCTTTTCTACTAAAATTCACCCAACACACGGTTCGAAAGCTATCCAAGGTATATTAGACGATTATTGTTAAGAATAGTAATAATGAATTAAATTTGTGATATGAATAAAATATGCGTTGATAGGAAATGAAGATTATGAAGATAAGGAGAATAAATAACGAATTATCCTTGACTTGAAGAGATTAAAAGATTTGTAATGTTCGGGGAAGGCACCCACGCTATTATGTCTGAGTCATAAGTTTTATATTAATTTTCCCCAACTGATTTAAAATGAATAGCGATCGATCTGAAGCTCAATGACTTTTGCTAAAAGACAATTCAAAAAAGGGAAAGCTGATTGACTTTTGCAAATGTTTCCCACCAAGTGAAGTGTATTTTTGCTTTAAAATATCTATCCCAATAATTACTCTCAGCATTTAGTACAAGATATTTATGGGAGAAGACATTTTCAATGAGGAACTAGAATAAATCTGCATAGAGGCCAATCGATCTGTCAATTGGTGTAAGGAGAGGAAAACCCTAAAACATTCTCCTCGTAATGTTGACAAAATGGAAGAATCCTAATTGTCTAAATTAGTGACGCCATTTCATCACAGTATTATGACATGTACATCTCAGATGTCAGTTTCGTCTTAATTTTAATATCATTTCTACTTTATTTATCCTTATTTCGAATTAAGTTGAATGTAATTTTTTTTTTGAAGGAGGAATCTTGCAATATACTGGGCAAAGTTATTTTCTTTATTTTCTATTCATTTCATTCCAAGCAAGGCAATAAAGCCACTAAAACACAAGGATGGGAGGTAATGGCTCTTAGAGGATATGAGAAAAAAACACTATGAGAGAGAGAGAGAGAGAGAGAGAGAGAGACAGAGAGACAGAGAGAGAGACAGACAGAGAGAGAGAGCATTAAAAGAACTAGAATTAAGCAGACGCTAGATAACGGCTGACATTGCATTTATATTTTTGAAGATCCAAGTTGGCTGGAAGTGAGTTCAACAATCGAGAAATGTGAGAGAAGAAACTGTTAGCAAAGATCTTACGGTTCCGTCTAGCCATTTCCATTGTAAAATGACGAGACCTTGCCGTCAATCTAGTACTGTGCATATATTCATAAAACATTTTCCTTGAAATGTCCATCATATAAACTGCTACACACACACACGCGCGCGCACACACACACACACACACACATATATATATATATGTATATAATATATATATAATAAAAAGACTTAAACACCAATATTCCATGGTCATAATTTATTCCATCAGACCTACAAATTCAAAAAGAAAACAGAAAAAATAACTTTTTGAATTTGTAGGTCTGATGAATTGGATCGTATTTACCATTCCAATGGAATAAATTATGACGATGGAATATTATGTTTAAGCCTTTTATTATATCCTTACTCTGTCCTGGACATTGAGTTCTACCTGATTCTATCCTCTCGGAATTATTTTTTATAAATATATATGTATATGTATGTACGTATGTATATACATTTATATATTTTAGATATATGATTGCATATCTATGTGTATATTTACCACTAATATTATCTATCTATCTATCTATCTATCTGTCTATCTATCTATCTATCTATCTATCTGTGTGCATGTGTGTGTGAAACACTACTATGAAAAAAAAAAACACTATGAAACACTTCTGCAAAAACCACGTACACAGTAAACCAAAAACTAGACGAAAAATTATAAGAAATCCAATACATAATATCACCTGACGATAAAAACAAATTAAGCTCATCACTAAAACAGAAAATACAGATGATAGAATGATACAAAATAGAAATGACGCAATGATACAAAAGGTCAAGACTTCACCAATATGAACTCGGTTGCTTGGAGAATATTTCGCTAATAATAATAATTCAAATATGACATACATTGGTTTCACAAGCACTACACTATCTCACTGATTAACCTACCATTTATTCGATAATAGTTCAATGTAATCGCATATCTTCGGCAAACAAAAGTAATCCAACAAATCGTTAACAGTAACACAAAAATATATGCTTCAATTTCTGGAATGTGGACTTATCATTATTAAAATTATTTACACGCTAAATATTGTCCCCATCTTTGTTGTTTTTATCACAACGTTTCAGTCTTTAATCTCTATTTAATCTACGGAGATTGATTGTTTTCGTTCTACTGGGCATATCCCGCGTTATGTCGTCCAGTTCTTATTTAGTCTTTACTGATGTTACTGTTTATCCGAATTCGTAATAATACGTAGTCAGCAATGACGTAAACAAGGTTTCAAATTTGACATTTGTAAATGAAAAGAAAGTACAAATAAGCCTAAAACGATTTTTTAAAAATCCTTTACTTTTCGGTTCTGATAAATGTGGCCGCTTAAGGAAGTCCTAATGAATGCTAATCTACAAAAATAATTTTCTAAAATCCTTTATTTTCTACGAGCGGACAGGTCAATTTATTTTAATCATTTCATCCCAAGCAAGGCAATAATGCCACAAAGACACTGAGTGTGAAAGAATAAGGAAAAAAAATATCAATAAGGAGAGAGAAGAATAAAAGAAGAGGAATCAAGACGACAGTAAATGACGATTGATATTACATTTCAATTTTTGAAGATCAGAATTGGCTGTAAAGCAAGAAGCCGGAAGGAATTTCTACAAGTGAGAAGTGTGATGGAAGAAACTATTAGCATAGAACTTACGGTTACATCTAACGATTTCAATTGTAAAACCATGAGAGCTTGTCGCCAATCAGGTACCGTGCTTAAATTCATGAAGTCGAGGCACCATAGAGCAATGTTTATTTGAAAAGAATTACCATGAAATTATTTATAGAAAAGGTACAGGGAAGCTACATTACGACAATGGGGAAGAGGCTGAAACAGAGATGCCAGATCAGGACCAATAACATTGCAGATTCTTCTTTGGATTCATCAAGAAACTCTATATATATTGCAGGAGCAGCAGACCCAATGCGGCAGCAATATTCAAAGCAAGGATGAATGGTAGACTTATAAATATGCAAGATATTCCGGGGAGAAAAATTATCTGGAACCTTTGCCATTACAATATCTATGCAGTATTTATTTTTATTTAGTTCTAATTGTCTTTATACTATTATGAAATTAAATTTAAGAAAATCCATCAAATTCTGGATGCAAGTTTTTCGCAAGAATATTTCAGAGCAGGTTAAGTGAAAAAATAATCGCCAATATCTTTTTAAAATTTTTTTCAATTTAATTCTTACCAAAGTTTTTTTTTAATAATTTCAGCCCAAGCAAGGCGATAATGCCACTAAGACACTAGGGTGTTACTGAAAGTGAAAAAAGAATGAAAAAAACTAGTGAGAAGAAAGGACAATAAAAGAACAAGTTTTGGATGCTCAACTTGCCATTAAGTTATTTAAAAACAATCATTCTCTTTTTTTCTTACTTTTAGTGTATATCTTCAAGCCTCTTGGAATCGGCCGGCCTTTGTTTGTTCGTGTTTCGACAGCTGGAGAAGCATGCTGCCATCTCAAATATAACATTCCTCAACATGGTTTTCTTCTTCACAATTCTTTATAACGTTTACCGATGCTGCCGGATCGGTGTAGCTCGAGTGAAAGAATGGTTTGTTCTCTTTCTGGTGGCAATGCTTTTTGAGGTGACCGGCATTGGTCTTAGCTTTTACGCGGTAAGTAAATTTTATTTCAACTCCTGAAGCTCATCGTGACAGGCATCTAGTCCCAGAGCAGAAAAGAGAAATGCACTTCATTTAAAGACACTATAATATGCTTTATGAATCTCCTTCAATGGCACCCATACTGATTTTAACGCCCCCAGAATTTATATATATTTGCAGGCAATAAAAACAAAAATTAGAAATTCAAATATTTTAAAAGTAAATTAAAATGAACGTTATATTAGTTACATTTTTAAATTTTGGTTTCATAGAAATATCAGCATCTTTTATTAAAAACTGATACTAAAAACAACATTCTTAGTAACTAATAATATTTTTATTGTTATTATGTGTTCCCAGTTAAACCTATTTCGATTTTCATTTTGTTTCAAGAGCAGTATCATATTTTTTTTTTAGCATTTTTCCTATTTTAACTAAAATAACAAGATTCAGAATAAAACAGAAAGACTGCAGATGAAGAGCCTGTCTGATTATGATTTGTGGTTTGACGACCATTTATCGCGCCTAAAGTCCTGGCGGTAGATAGCAGCTTGGATAAAACTGTTGACTAAATGAAAGAATCTTAATTGTCTAAAACAGTGATGCAATCTCATCACAATATTTTGACATCCCAGACAACATTAAACAATCGTATCGCTTTAATTGAATTATCGTTACAACTTTATCTACTATTATTTGGAATTAGGTTGAATGTAATTCTTTATTGAAGGCGAATTTAGTAAAATAATAGTTGAAGTTATTTTTGCTTTTTTTTTAATCGGGCAAAGTAATAAAGCCACTAAGATGCAAGGGGTTCACTGAGTGTTAATGATTATGAGGAAAAAAGCCACTATTAAGGAAAGAGAAGAATAAAAGAACAAAAATTAAGAAGACGGTAGATTACGATCGATATTGCTTTTAAAGTTTTGTAAATCAAAGTTGGCGGGACGAAAGTTACACAATGGAGAATGAGAAGAAACTGTTAGCATAGAACTTAAGGTTAAATCTAGCCATTTCCAAAGCAAAATGATGAGACCTTACCGCCAATCTAGCACTGCGCTTAAATTCATAAAGTCAAAGTACCATAAAAGAAAGTTCATCAGAAGAATTATCATGCAAGTATTTATAGAAAAGTCACAGGGAAGCTATGTTAAGTCAGTGGGAAATAATTGAAGGCGCGATGTCAGGTCAGGACCAATAACATTGCAGATTCTTTTTGGGATTTGATCAAGATTCTTTAAATATATATCAGAAGCACCAGACCATAAGTGGCAGCAATATTCAAAGCATGGAAAAATGATAGACTTATAAATATATAAGATGGATAGAAGCAAGGTGGAAGGTTAAGGAATCGGAGAGCCGAGTTCGAATTCCAGTCGAATCCATTACATTCACTCACGTGCTAATATCCTTGGGAAAGGGTATGATTTCTCTTCCTCTCTCTCCCCAAGTTATTGGTAAATAGCAGGACAGACCGGGTTCTATAGCCTTGGATGGCAACTGGTCTACCGCAGAAAGAAATGGCAACCTACTACGGGAAAAAAACTGCCTCGTCAGTCATGTATCGAAAGATACATGATCGCCTAAGTGTGTATCACACATGACACATAACTGACTGAAGATAGATTCTGGCGAGAAAAAATGTCTAGAAGAGAACAGGGAATCAACTTTCTTGGCTGCTGATTCCATATAATATTTCCACTTCATGTTAGCGGTAAAATATAGTCTGACAAGACGCAGTAAAATACTCTCCTGGAGGTTAGCATCAGCCATGCTGATGGAGGGTAAAAAGAGTTTCGTTTGGAGCGTTAAAATTAACAAGCCATTCCTTGCCCCATATTGTTATTCTAGGATTTATTTTTCAATTCATTCTTCGCCACCTTAATTACCAACAGTGTATATTGTGTGTTTATCAATTCCATTTAACTGTTTTCTTTATGACATTTGACTTCCGCTGGAACATTGTGGGTCGTGGTAAACATGGTAGGTCACCCGAAATTTGTTACCCTAACTGGTAAAAACGTCGTCCGTGAAGGATGATTTTCGGAAGCCATTGGATGTAGATTTTCTAAGTGTAGCCTAGATGTGGCACGAGGCCGAAAGTATAGGGCACCCAGTGAGGATCGAACTCGCTATTCGGTCATGATTTTTCTAGCAAGACAAGTTTTCTGACCATTACATCACATCGAGGTACACCTGAAGTTATTGGATGAATCCCGTCCAAAGCAAATTACAGGAAATATAAAAGCATAGCGCTTCGAATTCAGTTCAAAAGATAGGGGGGGGGGAGATTAGCTAAAATAAAATATAATTTAAAAAAAGCAACTGAATAAAATCCAAATACCACTAAAATACTGTTACCATTTTTTTGTTTTTGGTAACTTTTTTTTTTTACTTTAGCTCATATTGGACGCTTTCAAGGAATCAATGCTTCCAAAGAATCATTTCTGTAGGTAAATGGCAATTGATTAAAAAACTGAATACTCGATTACATGTTTGAATTTTAAGTCAGTTTTCGGATGTTTTCTGTTCATTCAACCCAAATGACGTTTTTTTTTTTTTTGTTGTTTTTTTATTAAATTTTTGGCACACTTTTGAAATAAATTTTAAATCAAAGTTTGTTTAGCTTGCCATGAGGTCTCCAGATAAAACGGCCTTCATATTATTGGACACCATACGAAGCTGTATTTTATCTGGGACTACGATTATGTCAGATTGTTTGGAAAGGATATATATCTATTCAGTAGATCACAGTATGAATTTCGTTGAGCCAGAAACATCAGCTCATCCGAAAACAATCGAAAGTATCTTGCGGAAAGGCAACATGAAGAATAATTCCATGTTCTTGAATCATTGCAGTCTGATAGACTTTTATTTGGATGAGTTCCTTTGGAGACGTAAGGCAAAAAATGAACAAATTTTGAAGGGTTTTTCAAAATTTTGATGTGAATTTTAGTAAATATAATTTCGTTTCATTTTGCTGTGAATTAACAGAAAAGATCCAAGTTTTCTTGTAATGCTATAATGAACCGCACCAATGTAACGCTATAATGAACCGCATCAATGTAACGTTAAATTGAACCACACCAATGTAAAGCTATATTGAACTGCATGAATGTAACGTTATAATAAACCGCATCAATATAACGTTATATTAAACTGTATCAATGTAACGTTATAATAAATTGCATCAGTGTAACAATATAATGAAACGTATCAATGTAACGCTATAATAAATCGCGTCAATTCTGTTAATTAGATTTGAGACCTTTATCGTTTCAGTCGTCTTTTTTTACTAGTTTATATGAATTTTATTTTTGTGCTGGCCCTGATTTCTCGTGATTTTGGTTGTAGAGTCTTCAAACGGCTTTCAAAGACGACCTCAATGATTTCATCGAGTTGGTTGGTGCTGTTTTACTCATCTCCGTCGCTTGGATCCCAAGCATCAAAAAACGACAACTCCATACCCATAATCCAAATCTGCAACAAAGTGACAGTCCTCTTGATGAAAGCATATTCCGAATGAAATCGAAAACGACAAGGTGGAAGGCTGGAATCATCTCGTCTTTCTTCAAGATTGTCTTCATTTGCTTAATCGCTGGTGGCTTGAACCAAGAATTTGTAAATGACTTATTTAGACAAAAGAATAGCATTTGGCACTGGCAGACGAACACTTCTCTGCAAACTCCCTTCCTAGTGAATCTTATATCAAGCTTCAGTGGGTTCTGCTTGGCATTCCTTACATGTCACATGTCCCTCGATATAGGAGCTTTCGCCTTGCCTATTTTCCTCTCAACCCCCATTTCTACGATGCTTTTCTTAATTCCCGACGCCTGCCAAACTCTGGTCATCATTGACGATCGCATGTCTCCGGCCATTTGCTATCAAACGATCGATGCCAGGGATTCATTGAACTTCATATTGTCATATAGCGGACTGGCCTTCCTCATCGTCGCTGAGATATTAGCCACGTGGTACATTGTGTGGAAAAGAGACACAGCAATTTTACCAAATGAATCCCAGGTAGATTGATTTACCTTCATTCCGAACCTATTCGATTTTGGCTCTCCCCGTTTCTCTCTATTATTTATGTTTATCGATCTTTTTATCATTGTGTTTCTTTTTATCTATTTCAACCTCTTCTTATCTATCTATCTATCTATCTATCTATCTATCTATCTATCTATCTCAGACTGTTCATATCTATCTATCTATCTATCTAGCTATTTGAGTCTATTCATATCTATCTATCTCACTCTGTTCAAATCTATCTATCTAGCTAGCTATTTTTCTATCTAATCCAACCTATTCTATTTTAACCCCTTCTTATCTATCTATCTATCTATCTATCTATCTATCTATCTATCTATCTATCTATCTATCTACAAACACACACAAACGCATATATATATATATATATATATATATATATATATATATATATAAAGAAATATAGTTTTAAGGTGTACTATATTTATGGCATAAAGTTCTCTATATCAGAGATAGAGCTTATGTAAATATAAATATAAAAGTGAACATTGAAGTCAATACTCATAGGCGTCAGGCTGTTTATTGCTATACGCAATAGTCACTTATATATATATATATATATATATATATATATATATATCCCTTATCTATCTATCTATGTATCTATCTATCTATCTATCTATCTATCTAACTTAACCCTGCGTTAGTCACCTCATAGTTTCAAAAATAGAGTGTCTGCTGGTGTTTGCCTCCCACGACAACTGTAACCTCCCTCCATGCTAAACACCCTCACCGCGTTAGGAGAGGGCAGATGCAAAAGGAACATGATTTAAACTAGAAATTACGTGTACTCTAAAAATCCTGCTGTAAAAACACATGTTTCTAACGCGGGTTGAATCTGCACATTATCTATCTATCTATCTGGTTCTGTTTGTATCAGGGGCGGACTGAGCCATCGGTCCAATCGGACCTGGTCCGAGGGCCCGGCACTGCAAGAGGGCCCGCCTGACTCAGGCCCCCTTGTGTGTGTTTCTCATGGCCGTGCGGACTGCCGGACACAAGTACGGGCAGATCCGTGACCGTGCAAAAATGAAAATTTGGAGAAGAAAAAGTATCTTCGTTAGCAATCAAACTAAATTTGTGAAGAAAGAAAAAAAAAAAAAGTAAAAGAAAACGAAGAAACCTTACGAATGAATGCAGTAAAAAATGTCTCTGTTTTTTTTGGGACTGGTAAGTTCAAACCTGGTTCCCAGCTAGACTGCAAGGCATAGCTTTATCGGATCCTTTTTGATTTGCCGCACCCGCACCCCTTGCCTGGCCGAAAACACGCAATAAATTATTTTAATATTGTAAAAATATTCTGGTGACCATAAATCTTGCGCCTGTAGTCTGTTGTACCGGTCAAATCTTAGCGAACTCTCTCTCCCATCCCCGTCACTCCCAAAAGGCACTAATATTTTCATATGATATTTAGAATTTCCAAAGAAAGGACACCTTATAAATTCCTGTCTGTTGCCATTGCCAAGCATTTCAGTAAGTTAAAATATTGACTAATTATTTTGTTTACATCTGTAATTATGCTAATTTGTTACAAATATTGAGTAAATTTAAATTCGCATTATGTTATTTCTTAAGTCAAATTTTTTAAAATGTCAATAAGAGGGTTTAAAGCAAAATATTAAAAAAAAAATTTTAATCAATATTGTTTTTAAATTGACGAAGGGGTTAATACTAATGCATTAGATCTTACCACATTCTTCTAAATCATTGATATAATTTCAGTTGATAAGCGAATTCGATGAGCCACCATCTAAGATTTTAAGGCCTGATTCCATGACAACCAGTACGCAGGTTACACATGCAAAAAGTGCGTATTTTTTAAAACCGGATACCAGCCATAATGCGTCAATTTCACAGGAGATGTTCTGGAAATTTCATCCAAACCAGCCTGTATGTAATATACCATTTAATAGTGCTGTTGTATATGACAGACAAAGCATTCAGGGCATGAATATTAACAGAAAGTGGGTAACATACAATGAAGAAAATAAGAGTTTACATTGCTCATTTTGTCTGATTTATGCTCCCGAAAAAAGTCAAAATATACAGATGATCCAGGGCTGTTCTGATTGGAGAGACATTGCAACGAGACTTTTGGAACATGAAAAGAGCCAGTGTCATAAGCATTCTACTGATGCATATTTTCTGAATGCTTGTGAAAGATCTGCCAAGCACAATTTGTTAACAACTCTCCTTAAGTACCCAACAAGTTCTTCAGCATCGATCTGTTTTAAAGTGTATAATTGATGATTTTACATTGGGTTTCAAGTTTTGTCTTACCGCGGCAACTATGGAGAAGCTGTTGCAACTGCATTTGATGAAAATAATCAAGACAATGCTGGGAATTTTTTAGAGGCTATAAAGCTTCTTGCAGAGTACAATCCACACCTGCAGGAACATTTGCAGAAGGTGGTTTTGCAAGGCAAACAAAAAGATCCATCTAAGAAAGGGCGTGGCAAATTTGTTACTTTTTTAAGTAAAACAACTGTCAATAAGATAATAAATATTATTTCAGACATGGTTAAAAAACGAAATTGTGAAGGAGGTGAAAAAATGCAGGGATGTTTTCAGTGCAAATTGACTCTACCCAAGACATTTCTGCCCATGATCAGTGTGCCATTGTCCTTAGATATGTAGTTGGAGACAGAGCTAAAGAAAGACTTGTTTGCCTGGTAAATGTGAATAATTCAATTGGAAAATGCTTGCACAGCCTGTTACGAAATTCACTTGCAGAGATAGGTCTGACACTGAGGCATTGTATTGGAGATTCGTTTGATGGAGCAGCAAATATGAGTGGTGTTTACTCTGGTCTTCAGGCACTTATGAAAGCAGCTCGCCCAAGTCACATCCATACTTGGTGTTATGCACATGTTCTGAATCTGGTGATCAGTGATGCAAGCAGTGGATGTGTTGCATCAGTTAGTCTTTTTGGTTTGCTAAATGAACTATGCTCATTTTTCAATGATTCCTACAAAAGGATGAAGGTGTGGGAAGAGCATATGCAGACCAAAACAGGAAATAAGAAACGCCTAAGACTAGAGAGTATTGGTCAAACTAGATGGTCAAGTAGAAGCAGAGCACTTCGAAAATTGTTTGGCAATTACGCAGATCAGTCATCAGAATTCTTTTCGGACCTTCTGATCATCCTTCAGGAAGTAAGCGAAGCAACTGATTTCAAAGGATCAGTTCGCTATGAAGCACAGAAATTGAGTGAAAACTTGTGCATATTTGAAACCATCTTAATGGCGTTTACATTCATACGAATTTTTGAAATTACAACACCTGTGTCAGATTATCTGCAGACACCAGGCCTGGATATCATGCAGGCTTGGCGCATGATTAACAAAGCCACTGAAAATATTGAAAAAATCTCAAGAGATTTTAAGGGCATTTATGAAACTGCGTCTGATTTTGTTGTTTGTGCAAATTATAAATTAGAAGAAGTGAAGATTTTTGTCCCTAATAGCTTCTCAATTTCAACCATGAGATCTAGTCGCTCAGCACCAGAAGGTATCACAGACGAGAAGAAAATTTTTGAGGTTTTATACCATAATGCGGTTATTGATGCTGTGCTCTCATGAGAAGCTCTATAAGCAAATTTCCTGCTTTGATCCAAACAGGTTTTCTGAAATTTTGGCATCCCCACAAAACATTGAGCTAGGTTTGATTGCTAATGCAATACCAGAAATTGACATAGTGGCACTACAGGATGAACTGATTTCATTTGCATCAAGCTACAAAGACTTGAAAAAAGGGCTGCTAGAAAATATAAATGACAATGAAAATGATTCAGACAGCTTGGATTCAGAGGAGGAGGATACAAATGTTACTCAATCATCTGCCAAGACAACATGTAAGAATTGTTTGTCATGTGCTTTCAAGCTATTATCTGAGTACAGGCTGTGTGCAGCTGCATATGAAAATTTATATGCTGCATATAAATTTATTGTAATTCTAAGCATCACACAGTGCACATGTGAAAGATGTTTTCTAAACTAAGATTGTTGAAAAAAAGGCTGAGATCTTCGCTCACACAAAATAACTTGGAGTCACTTATGCTAATTGCTATTGAAAAAGACATAGCAATGAAAATCAAATCAAACAAAGACAAAATTATTGATAAAATTGCAGAATCCTCTACTGAAATGAGTACAATGTTGTTACACTGTAATCCTTGAAAGTTGATATTTGAAATTTTTGGCTCAGTATTATTGTAAAGCATAGTATATCTTATATTAAGACGTATTAAAATGTAAGTAATATTTTTAAAAGTGTATGTTAACACATTTTATTATTTGTTTTTAATATCTATTATAAATTTTATACATTGTTTACGTGTTGATTCGCGGTAATAAAATGGAAATTTTGTTTGACATGTCATTACGCGGCTTTGTTGTTACTATCATTATGTGTCCATGAACATCTTTATGAGCTTCAAGTTTTCAAATCTTTTGATGCATATAAACGCATACATATCTTAAATAGTGATGGGACGTTTAATTGGAATCGTTAATCGTAAGAATCGTGTATTTTGGGGGGAATCGGAATCGCATCGTTAAAAATAAATACTTTAGATTTCCGATTCTTTCATTACGTTTCTCTTAAATTAGTCTGATGTTGAAAAAAGAAAACTTTTTTTTCCATATTTCTAACCGGTAAGAGAGAAATGTAACATTTCATAAAAATAACAAGTTATAAAATGAAACCAAAGAAATACGTTATTAAAATGTATTTAATTTTTGCTCTTTTTGCTTTCTTTCATTTTTTTAGGTCAAACTTAAATCCCACTTACACTTAATCAGTGAAACAGACACAGTATATTTGGAGTGGGAGGGGGACTAACTGACTTTGATCTCCTTCCTACAAACAGTTTCTTAACTATTTTTTTTTAATAAATCTAGATAATGAATATTTTTCAGGATTTTTTTTTATGAATGTAAACATTGAATTTTAAAATTCTTCTTTAGGTGTTAGGAAAATAATTAGAAATATTTACGAAGAATAAAATTAAAAGAAATAACAAGGTCCTGCTTTAAAATATTTACAAAAATACAAAACTACAGTTTTTTTAAAGCATTATATTAAAAAAAAAGAAAGAAAAGAAAAGAAAAAAAGATTTAATTTAACATTGAAAACGATTGCATAAAAAAAAAAAAACTGGCTTCCGTTTCAAAACAATTCCGCGATTCCCGTGATCGCTGAAAATTGGGGTTCCCTACACATACAGGTAGAACCTAAGTAGGCAAGGAATCGTGAATCAACATTTTCCTGGAATCGGTATTGGAATCAGAAAAAAATTAGGAATCGTCCCAAAACTAATCTTAAACTAAAGTTTTTTCTTATTTAAGCCAATATGCACAGATCACCTGCTGCACAGCCTCTATATGTGGCATTTAACTGTAAAAAATTGGGAAAGGGGGCCCATTGCATTTTCGGTCCGAGGGCCCTTAATACTCTCAGTCCGCCCCTGGTTTGTATCTACCTATCTGGGTTTGTTTATATCTATCTATTTCAGTCTGTTCATTATTTCTTTCTCTCTTTCTCTCTCTCTCTCAGTCTGTTCATTATCTACCTCAATCTGATAATAGATAATTATCTATCTATCTATGTCTGTTTATATCTATCTATCTATCTATCTATCTATCTATCTATCTATCTATCTATCTATCTAAGCCTGTTCATATCTATCTATCTTTGTGTCTACCTCAGTCTGTTACGATGATTCCTGACTTTGTACTAGTGTGGAATAACACAGTAATTCCACCTACATTTTACGCGCGCGCGAGTTTTCCTCCCTTCCTACCACACTTGTGCGTGTGTGCGCGCGCGCGTGGATCGCACCCCTTCCTCTCTCGTTCAATTAGACATAGCAGTAGCCATCCTTTTGCTGGCTACTCCTGATAGCTGTCTAGGACGGATTTCGAATTTTTTCCCGCGCGTTTCTTGACGTCACAGACGTCCAGCGTTTCCAACTCAGTTGCTTCCCGACTTTCAAGCTGAACGGACAACTCATTTATTCCGTGCCCTTAACCCATACGCGGGCCGGAATATCTTATTACTAACTACCAAAATTTCAACATGTCGACCTTACACTTTCCCCAAGACTCATTCTCGTCTTGATGTAACCCGCAGGTCGAACCTTCTCTGTTTTCAACTAGAAAACGTGGAGATCCGCGCCACAGTCGTCGGTATATATTTTTCCAGGACAACTTGTCTCGATGCGAACAACTTTCGAACATTCTAACTACTTTGAACCAGTACCTAAAAATATTACATGCATTCACACTATCAAACTACACAGTGAGTACTTTTCCTATTTGTGTACACATACACCTTTTCGTTTAACAAGTCATTTTTCTTTCTGATGAAACTTTTTCCCGCCTTAACCATCTTGGTTTTCTGTTTTGGCGCGGAACACTTTTACTAATGGTCTCAACTAACGAGACAACTTACTTGTTTAAATATAATAAAATTTCATATATGTTTTTCAACCAGACGCCTTTTGTCTATCTATTCGTATCATTATTTATGCACTTGTTGAATGACCCCTTTTCCTCACTATGTTCACTCACGCAATATATTTCTACTTTTGCTTGTGGATTCGGTAGTTTTGTGTAGTGTCTGGCACAAGGCCACTTTTTAATAAACCAGCAATGCACGCTACCGGGTCAGCAACACTAGCAGAGACATCGAAGGCTTTTCAACTGTATTGTCTGCCCAATTTCATTCCCAAAATTTTGGTCAACCCGTGTAGTACTATTTTTAGTCACTTCTCAAAGATGTTGCCCGATGTCACAGATTCTTTTTATCTTTCGAATAGAAATCTATTCTTCAACTTCGTCCAATGTTGATTTCAATTCAAAGAAATCATTTCTTTTTTCTAGTCGGAATCTTTTCTTTATATTTGATTGCAATTTTTCTTTTTCTTTGACCAGATATTCTGGATTCCTGGTTTTAATGGCGTCCTACTCGATGAATGGTTGGTCTTGTCACGCTGTCACGAACCAATTGAAACGAACATAGATTTTCGCGAGCAAGCCAGACGAACACGGATATATATTTGTACCACAATGTATCGAGAAGTATGTCTGATTTGTATCTAAACTTCATAAGCACACCCAGTAAAAGCTAAGTACCTTTTGATAAGATTTACTCAAAGAAAATATACCATTTTCGTACTATTTTGGAATTTTCCCTCTTTTATCCGCGGTCGATGCAAATATTTACAGATTTCGATCCTCCTTTTCGAGACAAAATCGCAAAACGATTCGCTAAGGCATTGAGTATCTGTCTCATGGCCAAGCACATAAACCATTCTCTTTGAGAAGGGCTTATATTAAAAAGGAATACAAAGAGATAGATAGATAGATAGATAGATAGATAGATAGATAGATAGATAGATATGAATAGACTGAGATCAATAGATATGAACAGACTGAGATGGATATGAATAGACTGAAATAGATAGATAGGTAGATAGATAGATAAATAGAAAATGAATGAATCATTCGCTAATCGTATAAAAGTAATCGCAAATAGATAAAAAAGACTATAGATTAATTATATATTAAAAGATTTAATCTTGATATTTATAAATTAAACACCTATTTAACTTCCTAATTAAACTTTTTCATTATCTTTTTCGTTATTTCTTTTGCAGTCTGACAATGAAATGAAACAACTTTTAGAGTCCATCAACCGTGTAAATGCAGCACAGCATAGAAGTGTGCGCCATTTTGAAGCGCATATTTTTTTCGACGGTGGCGTTAAAGAAACCCAGCCAACCGAATTCGCTTTGCAGCTACTTTCTTTACTTCCGGAAACTTTGGGTCTGTCTGTTTATTCATGTATTTCGAACTATTTTAGCTTAGTAGACACAAAAGATGCATTCTTCAATGAAAGCAAAAATGGCTGCCATATTATGTATTGAATACGAATTTTTTATCATACATGTTGAAGTATTTTTTAACTATTTTTAAAAGTCTGATTTCAAAATATGCAAGAAATCCGAATAAAGTATTTGAAAGTGAAATTACAGTTTATTAAATAAAATGAAGTTTTAAAATCTGATTGCTTCTATGACAAAATCACCACCCAAAAAAGATAACAGCTTAGATATTTTATCAATTACGTATTTATGCATAAACAAACGTGGTACCCTATGATGCATTTTTATAATTTAGGAACAGAACTCGATAATTCAAATATTTTAATTTTACAGAAAGAAATCAAATACTTTTCAAGACTTTTATCAAAGAAAGGCGATTATATAACTAAATTTTCTCCGTTCCCCACATTCATTTAAAATTTAACATTGTGATGTTTTCACTGTTAACTAAGCAACATAATGTTGTCGGTGGCTAAATACAGCCAGTGATAAATTTATTAGATCTTGCCAAACAAAACTGGTAAAGTCACATCATTATAGAATAGACCCCTTGCCAGAAACGTCTGTTGGTAATCAAGCTCACGCCAGACCTCAAGGGAAACTCGTATATACGATCCGTTAAATATGCTAAGAAAAGGTTTGGGTCCCTTTTACCCCTCTAGAAAGTATATGACTCTCACTCTTTACAAGAGCCGGATCTAGACTGGAGAATCCCCAATCAACACTTTCCAGATTTGATTCCAAAAGCATTTATGCGGCCTTGTGGATGATTAAATATTTTCCACCCTACAACCACTTTCCCACAAACGAAACGTTACTAGCCTTTCGCTACTCTATCGCTATTTCCATGACAAATGTCCGGGCGAGCTAGATTCTTTGTTCTCACCAGTTCAGACCTTCACAGCTAGGACCTACCATGACATCTACATACTGTTCACTCATCCTGATTCCTTACACATCCCATTAGTAATGGGATCTTCCAATCAGATAGATTCTTCACCAGAATTGCCGAATAGCTTCCCCAATAACTGAAATTTCTCTTCAAATCTAGAGTCAACCTTTATCTAGCCTACCTATCCTCTTAATATGCACTTCCTTTCCTGTAGGCTCTTAGAACAACCTCATTCACCTTGAGTATCTCTCGGGGCTTGTATTGGATGACCAAAAGTACTATAAAGAAGCTTAGAAAGAGTAACTTGTATATTTTCATATTTCAGTAAAAATATTAAAACATAAAGCTGTGTTTTTTGTTTGTTTTAGACATCAAACTTGTTAATTGCCGGCAGATACAAACTCCTTATGGATTGTGCCTGGCTTGGAAACTTCCAGCTCCTCCCGGAAGAAACAAAATGAAATTCCGTATTCATTTCAAAGACAACTTAAAGGTAAGCTAAACAGTCACTCAGCCATGTTGCGATGTAGTCTCGTAAATAATATTTCATGATCATGTCTGGCACAAAACCACAATATTTCGGCATCCAGTAGCAATCAAATTCTTTTCAAATTGTCTAGAAAACTATCACTCTCTAGTTTTTAACTTTCTACTTTTTGTCAGATTATCACTATTCGATTATCATAAAGGGTGCGGATGGGTAAATTGTCGCCATTTTATATTTTTAATTTCGCACATGCGCATTGTTTTTTTTTTTCAGAGAGAGGGTCGAATCGAGTCGAGCCAATAGTAGTTCACTCCAAACCAGACTGACAGTCATACTAACACCTACCACATCTTGTATTATTATTTTGTGTAATATACCTTCGTTATTTCTACTCGTGTTGTTCTTCCTTGGTCCTAACCTGGACCATAACACTATCTATCTATCTATCTATCTATCTATCTATCTATCTATCTATCTATCTATCTATCTATCTATCTCAGTCTGTTCATATCTATCCATGCATTTTCAGGTCAAGAATAAGAAAAGATGGAGTCAGATAATGTATATGTCTTATGTGTTAGACTTTTTACTGAAGAAGGAAAAGAACAGTAAGTTTAACACTATTTTCAAATTTGTGTTTCTCTATTAATCTGTCCCGATTTGATTAGCGCTTGACGAAGAGAGATTTTTACTCTTAGTTGACAGGCGTTTGAATCCTTCGCGCCAACAAGAAAGTATAAGAATACGTATACAAACATTTAATAACACTTTAAATGTAAATCAAAGTATGTGTGTGTGTGAATGTGTGCGTGAATGTGTGTGTAGAGATATCCTTATTCCGATGTATGTGTGCGAAGAGTTAGAGGACTGTTGAATACGCACAATCTTATTGTTATGTCATAGGTACCTATTCTATTGTAATGGACTCTCCCATAGATAATAAGTAGGAGTAGCAGTGGCAAGTCTGGCAGAATGGTGTTGAGCGCGTCAGTCGAGATTCGGACATTTGAAGTACCAACCATCACAACTAGATTGCTGCGCCATTGACTCTTATTTTCCAAGTTCCTAACGTTTTGTACGTCGGACCTAATTTAGAAATACAAGCCTCCACTGTGAAAATACTCCACAACACTTATATTTGAGAAGAATAAGAGAGTTTGGTAGAATTTTAACCATTTCACCCCAAGAGAAGACTATAAAGCCACTAAGACGCAAGGGGGGTTACTGAGTGTGAAAGAATATCATAAAAAGACAATCGTTATTAAGGAGAGAGAAAAATAAAAAAAACAACAAGACATGATTGACATTGCATTTAAATTTTTGAAGATCAAACTTGACAAAGCAAGAAGACAGAAGAGAGTTCCACAAGTGAGAAGTGCGAAAGAAAAAATTGTTATTAAAGGACTTACGGTTACATCTCGCGCTTTTCAATTGTAAATTGATGAGACCTTGCTGCCAATCGAATACTGCAGTTCAATTAACAAAGCCTGGGTATCATAGGGCAAAGTTCATCAGAGCAATTACCATAAAAGTATTTATAGAAAAGACACAAGAAAGCTACATTACAGGGGTGCGAAAGTGACTGAAGTAAATATGTCAGATCAAGACAATAATATTGCAGATTCTACTTTGGATTTTATCAAGAATCTCTAACGACATAGCAGGTGCACCGGACGAGAGGCGACAGCAATAATGCTTAACGCGACATCTGATTCGTAGGTGTCTAGTCTTCTACGGGTAAATCGCAACAACTCACCTTGGCAATCTGTGAGTAAAAAAAAAGGGAGAAAGAGAATGAGAGAGAGAGAGAGAGAGAGAGAGAGAGAGAGACTGGAACATTTTTTTTATTACATTTTGACAACGCCATTTAGGGGTCGTAATTTCCTTGCTAAATGTATAAGTCCATCACTTAAAGGTCAAAGGTAGACGAGGTTAGTTTTAGTTAGCAATCAGTCGAGGAAAGAGAAAACTATAAATTCAGACCTAAGTATGATTATTTGAAGACTTCGTAGCACACAGTGCTTCATTTCTCTTATCAATTGTTTTCGAGAAGTTTGGCTGGATTTACACAAGCCGCCCCCGCTATAATCAAATCATATGTGACGGTAATCTATAATGGTTCAGTTCGAATGACAGATCCTTTTCCACCTTATACGTCAAAATCGACGGCAGAGTTATATATATATATATATATATATATATATATATATATATATATATATATATATATATATATTTGTTTGTGCGTGTGTCTTGACTGACCTATCAATCGCCTAACTAATATTTATAAACTTTCTCAAATCTAAAATCCTTAATAAACCAAGGACATCCTTACACTTGTATATAAATACGTGCAACAAAATAAATCTCCATTAGTTTGATAAAGTCCCTCAGAAGACGAAACGCGTCGACTAAGAATAATTTGTCCACTTGTCCTTTTATTCATTTTTTCCCTTTACAGTATCTGAAATCAATTTATATATATAGAGAGAGGGATAGATAGATAGATAGATAGATAGATAGATAGATAGATAGATAGATAGATAGATACATACATATAATACTGTTCCTGGAAACTATATATATATATATATATATATATATATATAAAACATTAGGCAGCATTTAATTTATATGCAAAGAAATAATCATACATAGAATTAGTCAGTAATATTAATGGTATTATTGGCGACATCCATCGCTAGTAGTGTATAATGTATGCATTATTTAATTAGAAAAGCTTTTAATTGCTTTTATAAGGGAGTTTTATTAAGATTTTAAGAATAAAGTTTTTTTTCGATCAATAATTAATTCTTACAAGAATTGTTTTCATATTTTTAAATTTTAATTAAATAATTTATAATATTATAAATCTTAAAATTCTGCATTAGTTCAAGGCGGCAGTTAGGCGATATTGTTATTAAATGACAACTACATTTACCAATCAAAATTTGTAAAGTTCATTAAAGGTCGTTTACACCAATATTTAAAAAAAAATAATTTTATTTATGTATACGTAAGGTGCCTCCGTTTGAAAGTATGGGTGAGCATACACAACATAATAAAAAAATAAGAACGATGACTATAGTAAATTTAAATTCAACATTCCTAAAATTAGATTACGGAGAACATTTTCCGATATTTTAAAGATTACTGAGTACTTAATTGTATAAAAAAGTTTTCACCTGTCATTTCTTAAATTATGTTTTAACAGATAAAGTTTCTTTAGAACAATAATAAACGTCTCAACACCACAAGTAATTTATGGGGTGTTGACAAGCACTTAATCGCGCTACTGTTTGCTTTAAAAATCCATTTCTCTTTTATTTTAAACTTAAAGTAAATAATATATTTTTTCAAATCAGATTAATTATACTTGAAATCAGTTAATATTTCTCAAATAAAGTTTCAGAAAAGTATATTTTATTTTCGGAAGATTTTTAAACCGATAATTAAATTTTGTTTACAAATGTGTCAAAAATGATTGAATCGTAACCTATTTCTGAAAGCGAGAAAACGTTGAGATTTTAATTAATATAATTTTTATTTGAAATACGCCGGGTTTTTTTTTGCTTACTAGAAATGCTAAATGTAATCATTTAGCTAAAAAGAAAGGCTCAAGAATGATTTTTCATTTTAAATTTTCATTTTAAACCAAGGTATCGAGACTGAGTGGAGGAACCTAATTTTTACTCTCAAAAAAACAAAAACAAAAAAAAACAAACAAACATTATTCGAGTTTAAATCTCTTCCTGAAGCCTTTGCTCTTCGCGAAAGCTCATTCAATTTGTTGAAGTGTTCAAGCTACAGAACCCTGGTCTAATGATTATGCATGAATATGTCCAGGTTGAAAATTAAAAACAGGACAAGATTCATTCATAAATTTTCAACTACTTGCTTTTCATTATGACAAATAAAGAAATATTTTTTAAAAAATATCATATTCTTCAATATAATGTGTGCGTGAGTTTACACGCATTTTCCAAGTATTGCAATCAATATTTGAGGAATGCTAATTATTTCACTTTCTAATTAGGTTCTATGATATTTTAAAATCTGAAGTTGAATCATTTAACAAATGAATGTTAATTAAAATATATTCATTATGGATTCATTGAATTCTAGTAAATGTTCTACTCTTGTAATGTAATCTTTCCAGATCCGTCGGAAATTGAAGGTTTTATTTTGACCACCGATGCTGATGTGTTATTCACGCCAGTCTCTGTGGAGGCCCTAATGGATCTCATGACTCGAGATGAAGCAGTGGGCGCCGTCTGTGCCCGTACCCATCCACTTGGTGACGGGCCGGTCGTGTGGTATCAAGTCTTTGAGTATGCTATTGGCCATTGGTTCCAGAAGGTCTGTAAAAAAAAAAAAAAATAATTGATTTGGTTCTTGAGGACCGATTATGCTGTGGTTTAATTAATCCCAAACCCAAGTTTTTCTTTTTCATCGATTCTGTCAGGCCAATTATCAATTGCCTTTTCGACCTTCATAGATATCTGCTGTACATCATATAATTCTGCTTGTCCCTCTGTTAGTTAGTTGACGCGTATATTATGCCCTGCCATTGCCTCGGATAAATAATGGACCATTCATTTTTGATTTCAAGGAAAGACGGACGTAAAATGAGACGCAGTTTGATTTTAATAAGTAAAGAGAGCATACAAAATAATACGAAAGAAAAAAGAAACAAACAGAAAAAACAAAGGGGGGGGAAGAAGCGATACCGCTCTAATGCGTTTAACGTCTGCTTCCATGAAATGGAAAACTTTGTCAGTTTTTAATTTTTCATTTGTACCCACTTACTTCTTTAACCAATAATCTGCATTCATATTTATGATTGTTATTACAATATTTTATACAAGTTGGTAAGCTAACGGTGCATCAGGAAAATTTCCACGCGTATTTTATAGCCGTGGTACTCACAAGGAGCTTTAAATTAAGAATTAGGATTCATCTGAAAATTTTAATCAGAAGAGTATAAAATTGTCACGGGTACTGCTAGACTTTAATTATTTTATATGTTGTAAAATGTGCGATGGGTAAATTGTCGCCATTTTATATTGTCCATTTCGCGTATGCGCGTTGTTTGGTTTTGATTTTGTCGACTGCATAGTTTAGTAGGATCAGTTGGGCACCCTCTGTGAGAAAAAGAGCACAATGACACAATTCGCCCGTCAGAAATTTGGAAACGCCATGCTATACTGCTTGGAATTCTTGCAGGAAGCTACAATATGAACATTTCAGTGTGTTTGGGTGTCTATCTGAGAACAGTGCAGAGGATTCGGAAAGAGTCGGATGAATCTAATACGACGGTATTTAGCGTGATCACTAGTGATGGCAATGTTATGCCTTCATTCATCTTCTCACAGGGCCTCAGACTCAACACGAAGGCCTACATCAAGTGCAATTCTGAATCAAGAGGGTAGTTGCTGGAAGATCTTATGTTTGGCAACAGGACTCTACATCATGCCACACAAGTAGGAGAACCCAGTTATGGATGTCAGACAATTTCTGTGATCACATCACCCCTTTTATCTGGCCACCTAACTCCCCAAACTGCAACCCCCACCCCCTTGATTATTATGTTTGGGGCACAGTTGATCAAAAGAGCAACAAACTCCTTGCAACACCAAAGATGAACTGAAGGCAAGCATAATGGCAGCATTCAACAACTTAAACAAGGAGAACATCCGGAAGAGTTGCAGGAGATTCCGAAGTCTGGTGCCGTGGTTGAAGTCAATGGCGATTTTATTGAATAAATTTACTCTTAAGTATTCAAGATATCTTTTGTGTAATTTTGGTAAATATATTTGTTAAAATGAGATGTCAGTGTTATTTTCATTTTTGCATCCTTTAGACAATAATTTATCCATCGCACCGTGCGTATTCCATGATCTGATATGGACTAGTTCAATTCTGTTGGTCACCAATATATTTGCTGTTTTCTGCTTTTTTGCTGTAGAGAAAAATTATTCAAGTTCATTTTCGTAAAAATGATAGAACTGGTTAAATGAATAGAAAGTTTTTCAAGTCAAGGAAATTCGATGAAATATTTGTAGTCGCCAAATCTAAAGTTAAACTTGAACCTGGATCGCAAGTGTTTACTGAGCAGCAACATGTCTTCTTCCTCGTTGACGTGAGGACAAGAGATCATAATTTCCCTTGAGGTTATGGTTGCTATTAACTGTTGATGGAAATCTGTGGAGCAAATGGCAGGACCTTTAAAAAGGTGACAACACACATTCTCTTCATTAGTTTTTGTTTGTTTAATGCTTTTGTCATTTCTATTAGCAAATGGACATGTGAGCAAATGACGAAGCTTTAGAGATAATCAAAACAAAAAAGACATTTATGCTTAGCATCAGAAACAGATGGCTGAAATTTTTAGGGTACATAATGAGGAAAGAGGGCTTAGAAAATCTGATACTCACAGGACAGGGGGGAGGCAAAGTGGATAGAGGAAATCAAGGAATAATCTATTTAACGTGCTAGTCGGCAGAACAGAGATTAGGAGAGTTAGCGAAAGGATAAATCTTACTAACAAAGACAAGAAACTGTGGAGGGACATAATCGCCCACCCCCCGAAGGTTCATGGCACATAGAAGAAGATGAACAGAGATAGATGGATAGAGATGAAGAGACTGACATAGTTATTGATAGACAGATATGAAATGGATGAGATGAATATGAAGTGATTGAAACCAACTTTATTGCAATAAAAGTGCCCATTTAGAATTATCGTATATATTTTTATTTACATTGTTTGAACTGTTGTCCTCATATTTATTCTCATATTCACAACGTTTCGACTATTGTATGCTCCGGTCTTCTTCAGGTGATTGTAATTTCGAACTGAACCCTTTATTTCGTCCATCAGGAGGGAGATTGTTCTAGTTCCACGCGCCGTGCCTCTCTATTTAACTCCACTCTTCAACTCACAACTCTTTGAGTCAAGTCACTGAATCCATCAAACGCTTTTATCCAGTGGGCTATGTGTCCTCAAAGAGTTCTGAGTTCAATACCTGGCTGCTGCAGCGGTGAACAAAAACTTGGAGAGTTGAATTAAAGGGAGATAACGGAAGAGGCATGGCATGTTGAACTAGAACAATTTACCCCCGGTGGATGAAATAAAGGGTTCAGTTCGAAATTCCAATCAACTGAAAAAGCGCACGACGGTCGAAACGTCGTAAATATGACAAGAAAGATGAGGACAACAGTCCGAACAATGTAAATAATTACAATACCTCATCTTAGAAATGTAGACACGTATTAGAATCGTAGGGGCAGCACATATTATTCAGTTGCGGTCGTAGTCTAGGGCAAGATAGTCTGACGAAACCCATCCCTCGTCTTGAATTTAGAGTTTTCTTGGTTGAGGCAAGAGAGTCCAGTTTACTTTGCTATTTAAATCTTTTATAGGGGAAGACGAGTTCATGACTTTTCCAAGAATATTATTGCGAAGTGAACGAAACAGAATCTACCGGAGTTTGAACTTAGCACGCTGATTTCATTTTTCGCGACGGTAACCGTTGCACTATTTAAGATACAAGAATATGAAATATGAAATTTGAAATCTCTTCCTAAAATTTGATAGTCATGAAATTCTCTTGATATTTAATTAAAAAGTTCAAACATTTGGAATTCTTAGTTCAAAATTCTTGATTTATTATTATCTTATGAAATACACCCCCCTCCCAAAAAAAGGAAATATATCACAAATCGAAACAGAGAGATAAACGTTTCTCTAATTCTTGTATTTATTTTTTGATCACAGGCGTCGGAGCACGTTCTTGGGTCGGTGTTGTGTAGCCCTGGCTGTTTCAGTGTCTACAGGTGTAAAGCCATTTTCGATATTATGCCTTCCTACGCGTCCACTGTTAACGAAGCATTCGAATTCCTCATCAAAGACATGGGAGAGGACAGGTGGTTATGTACTCTGATGGTATGGCTTTCTTTTTTTTTTCTTCCTTTTCCAATAAAAAGCTAAATGCCTCATTTAAAAATAAAATGACTTTCTTCTCGTCACTATTGGCAACTGAAAATGTCCTGGCTACAAATCCAATTTCTAAAAACACCACTTTCTTTGTTGAACCAGCAACGTTTCCACAGAATGTGATTGTACTGATAAATCATCAGTTACCTCCCCTTAAGATCTAGGAAGTATAAAAATCACCCTGTTATATCCGTCAGTAAACAAGTAGTCAGAGTAAAATACAATAAAGCTTTGGTATAAGTTTATTCACTGGTTCTGTTTGTACTCGTGTTAACCGATTTTTTCCCCATACTAATGAAAAGATTTGGTTTGGTTTGGTTTAGTTATTTTTGTTTATCGGCATATGAACACATCTATGGGTTATATTATGGCGAAAACTAAATATTTTGAACGCAAGTTAATGCCTTCAATTACAGATATAATTTTATACGTTCAGGGAGTAAAGATATATAGTTTGTATGTGGGAACAGAAGGAAATGCCTTAATTACGAAAATTCTCGAACTCCGAAAATTTCCACACATTCTAGAGAACGCCTACCATAGTTTCCCTGTTAGTAAGCTAGTCCCGCAGCCCACTAATACTTTCTGAATACTAATTACGGTCGTGACTTTAAAAAAAATCATTTTACCCCAAGGGAAGGCGATAAAACCACTATGATGCAGGAGATTACTCCGCGTGAAAGAAATTGAAAAAACGTTTGTGGGGAGAAAGGACAATAAAAGAACGGATTTCAAGAAGACAGAAAATTTGGAATGACGTTACATTTAATTTTTTGAAGAGTGAAATATCAGCACCCCCTCCAATGAGACTTAACGTCAAGATCAGAAACACAACACAAGTAAAGGCGTGTGTTTCCAAATGTTGTTTATTGTATGTAATTGGTTGGAACAAATTTCTTTCCTTTTTGGTGCCTCTGTTTTATTTTCTCGGAAAAACTAATTCAGATAATATAATTCAGATAGTAATAAGAAATGAAATCGACAGACGCATTCTTCAACCTTCCTCGGGTATATTTTGCATCTTGATTCTTAAAATTCGTTCTGTATTTTTCTGTTTTGTCATCGCCCCAATAGCTACACCTTGATGCTCTCAAACCAGATTTGGACTAGAAACGCTATCTTAGCCGCTAAATCCTAATTCAGTGCTTGGCAAACTTTTGTCTTTGGGTCTCATCAGCTATCATCTTCTGCCTCACCGGCTATCCTCTCCCGCCTCACCAGCTATTATCTTCTGCCTCAACGGCTATCCTCTCACGCCTCACTGGCTATCATCTCCCGCCTCACCAGCTATCATCTTCCGCCTCACCGGCTATCATCTTCTGCCTCACCAGCTATCATCTTCTGCCTCACCGGCTATCATCTTCCGCCTCACCGGCTATCATCTTCCGCTTCACCTGCTATCATCTTCCGCCTCACCGGCTATCTTCTCCAGGCCTCACCAGCTATCATCTTCTGCCTCACCGGCTATCATCTTCCTTCTCACCAGCTATCATCTTCCGCCTCACCGGCTATCTTCTCCAGGCCTCACCAGCTATCATCTTCTGCCTCACCGGCTAAAATCTTACGCCTCACCGGCTATCATCTTCTGCCTCACCGGCTATCCTCTCCCGCCTCACCAGCTATCATCTTCTGCCTCACCGGCTATCCCCTCCCGCCTCACCTGCTATCATCTTCTGCCTCACCGGCTATCATCGTCCGCCTCACTGGCTATCATCTTCCGCCTCACCAGCTATCATCTTCCGCCTCACCGGCTATCTTCTCCCGCCTCACCAGCTATCATCTTCTGCCTCACCGGCTATCCCCTCCCGCCTCACCTGCTATCATCTTCTGCCTCACCGGCAATCATCTTCCGCCTCACTGGCTATCATCTTCCGCCTCACCAGCTATCATCTTCCGCCTCACCGGCTATCTTCTCCCGCCTCACCAGCTATCATCTTCCGCCTCACCGGCTATCATCTTCCGCCTCACCAGCTATCATCTTCTGCCTCACTGGCTATCCTCTCCCACCTCACCAGCTATCATCTTCCGCCTCACCGGCTATCATTTTCCGCCTCTCCTGCTATCCTCTTCCACCGCACCATTTTGGAATCACTGTCATAATCCAGTCGGAAGACTTTCAGTTTTATAACAAGATTTCGATTTAGGAATCTGATAATTTTTTTCTAATGAGAAGGTGACTAGAGAAAAATATAATCCTGGAAAACACTCAAGAATTACTTTGTTTGAAGAGTGCACCGGTTGTAAACAACAAAGATGAGGATATTAATTCAAGTAATTTATGGAACAATGTCGGTGTCATTTCTAAAATTTTCTTTTCTTTGCAGATTCAAAATGGCTGGAGAATAGAATACTGCGCTGTAGCCAGTAACAGTACTTATTGTCCAGATAGCTTTGATGATTTATTCTAAAATTTTCTTTTCTTTGCAGATTCAAAATGGCTGGAGAATAGAATACTGCGCTGTAGCCAGTAACAGTACTTATTGTCCAGATAGCTTTGATGATTTATTCTAAAATTTTCTTTTCTTTGCAGATTCAAAATGGCTGGAGAATAGAATACTGCGCTGTAGCCAGTAACAGTACTTATTGTCCAGATAGCTTTTGATGATTTATTCTAAAATTTTCTTTTCTTTGCAGATTCAAAATGGCTGGAGAATAGAATACTGCGCTGTAGCCAGTAACAGTACTTATTGTCCAGATAGCTTTGATGATTTATTCTAAAATTTTCTTTTCTTTGCAGATTCAAAATGGCTGGAGAATAGAATACTGCGCTGTAGCCAGTAACAGTACTTATTGTCCAGATAGCTTTGATGATTTATTCAAACAAAGAAGACGTTGGATAGCATCGACCATTGCCAATATGATGCTGTTTATCAAGGAATGGCGTCTCTTAATCCGCTACAACAAAGAAATATCTTTTGTTTTCATTCTTTATCAAGCGCTTCTTTTGTTCTCTACGCTAATTGGACCCAGTATAGTAGTCCTTGTCGTTTCAGGTAAATTTCCTTTCCCACATTAAACAAATAACACAGATTGGAAATGTTGGATTTTTTTTCCGAAAAAATTTTGTTTTCCATTTCAGGTGGTCTGCAGTACGGATGGCAAATACAACCAATTGCTTGTCTTATCATTCAATATTTTGTTTGCATCTTTTTCGGAATGATATGTCTTTTCAGTTCAAGTAGAACTCAGCTGCAGGTACGTATTTATGAAAGCGTATCTCCGCTTGTTTTGCTTTTAAGCATTTTACATACGCACTTACCTGAGAAAGAAACAAATGAACAAAGTAACATTTGATCGTACAGCCATACATATAGAGCGAATTACATTCTGATTAGAATCTATCTATCTATCTATCTATCTATCTATCTATACATACATATCTACATTCTGTACACACACACACACACACACACACATATATATATATATATATATATATTCATCTCAGTCTGTTCATATCTATCTATATATCTCAGTCTGTTCATATCTGTCTATCTATTTCTTTCTGTTCTCTCTCTCACACACACACACACACACACACACACATATATATATATATATATATATATATACATATACACACGTGTAGTGTGGTGGGTATAGTAATCAAGACATACTACATGGTCACTGGCAATTTCATGCCTTAAGGTACCATCAATGCATAGCTACGAATGCTTTATCTCTGATTACTGTGCACTTGTACTCCATAAATAAAAAAGAAGACATTTTAAAGAATATCTATGTGTGTGTGTGAGAGAGAGAGGAGGGTAGGGAGAGAGGCTGAAGGAGAGGGAGAAAGAGAGAGAAGGGAGAGATAGAGAGAGAGAGGCGTGTAACTGTTATCGGCGTAACCGATAGAATCAGCGTACCATGTTCAAATTCCGCTCATTTATATTCGGTTTCTTTTGCACTAATAGCCTTGGAAAAGGCATGAATCTACCCTCCCCTAAAGTTATTGGATAAATAGCAGGGCACACTGGACTCCCTCGCCTTTGTTGGCAACCAGTCTAGGGTGGGGATGAGAAATTGCACGAAAACATTATGACTATATGCTTAATAAGAGGTTGGTTCCCCATGTGCAAATAAAACAGAGAATACTCATGAAGAGAGATATAATGTTTGCGAAGACGAATGAACGACATTTAATAGCTGTCAATTATGGAGAAAAAGTTCGAAAGAGTGAATTTCTTCATCCCATTCGTGTTCAATTCAACGGAAATCTGCGAAGATTGATGACCAACGTAACGGTTTTCTTCACCCTTCTGAAACTGATTCCCATATTCCAATATTCATATATTCTGATGATCCCATATTCCAATATTCATATATTCTGATATTCCGATATTCCTACTCGTGCAGTGTATCAGTCAGGTATTGTGCCGCTGTGATGATGTCATGATAGGAAGCTGTGTTGCTCTGAAGGCTTAGATTTTTTTAAAGGAATGTAGAACATGACCAAAAATTAGATCATTGCAAAACTTCGTGCCCGATTTGATAAGTAAAAACAAGAAAAATCGGGCAATGATCCAATCCCTTCGGTATGTATAAATGGAGCCAATATTTCTGAAAAGGACGTTGCCCAAACTCTGACACTGCCTTTCACGGTTTGTTGTTTTTTTAACAATCCAACTTCCTGATTAGTCCATTTTAAGTTTGCAATTGTCTTATTATATTTCCGTTTAAAATATTATAACGAATGTCCTCGATTCAGCTAGTATTATGTAATGAGGGCTCTTTCACGGCTTGAATTTTTTCCTATCACTGCTTTATAAATATTTCTTTTTATAGTCGGCGAAATTTCTGACATTTATTTATGCCATCGTCATGAGTGTTGTTGTAATCGGCACTGCAGTTCAAATAGCCAAGGATATTCAAGAAAATCAAGGTAAGAATTAGACACACACACACACGCATATATATATATATATATATATATATATATATATATATATATATATATATATATATAAATGGCTAAATGGCAATAGGAAAATTGTAATAGTAATAATAACAAAAACAAAATGTCCTTAGCAAGTGGAATATATATATATATATATATATATATATATATATATATATATATATATATATACTATTAATATATACGTTATATTTAGTGGATATTTGTGTAGACGTCTTTATTTTTAAACCGTATATTTTCATTCACGGGCCAATTATGAAATAATGTCTGATTATGGATAAACGTCTATTATTTCTTATATATATATATATATATATATATATATATATATATATATATATATATATATAATATGAGATTAAAACAAAAACATGTTAAAACAGTATTGTTGGAATTATACTCCATTTATATCCCATATATATATATATATATATATATATATATATATATATATATGAAACTTTAAGTCGCAGAAACACATAATAATTTAAGTAACGCTTTTTGGCATATTGTATTTTTTGTGAATGACTGAATAATTGTTTTATATATATATATATATATAGCTAGAAAGAAAACTTTATTCCACTTCAAGTTTGGAATTCAGAGTTATTCTCCTTGTTTCGAAAAGATGAAAATAATAGGAAAAAAAGATACCTGTTGACTCAGCTCAGATTTTAAATCACAATCTACTGAATTACATTGTACCAAGAAGAAAACTATACCTGATTTATTTTAACCATAGTGCAATGTTTCTCAACCTTTTTAAACAACGGCTCACTTAGAAGCAAATGAAAATTTTTAATGGGTATACATTTAAATGTTAGAAAATAAAACCATAGATTAAAAAAGAATACACACACTAATATGAACTTTATTTCAATGTTTCTATTCAACTAATTGTGCAAAATATTTAGTGTGAAACTTGTTCCCTTTTTTTGTGATTTCTTCAGTGTTTCGTCAAATGTATGATAAACAGACCCTCATTTCTTCTTCAGTTGGGCATAGTCTTTCTTTCTTCTTATTTTTGATGTTATTTAGGGATGAAAGCCGAATTCACATAAATAACAAGTAGAAAATTGAGACTATTTCACTGCACACTTAAGAGGATCGCACGACACAATAGTATATCGAAAAACGGCAGCTAAGTATTACTGGTCTATATTAATTTAACTCAGGTAGCTGTCAGCGTGAAGGCCAAGTTTCGTGGTATTGGATTTCTGTGCATGCATGTGTATTTCCTTCCTTGTGTTTCTCTTTTTTAGCCACGGAATACAATATTTAAATTTTTGTCGATCGAGTTCAAGAGAATAAGGAGTAATAACCGGGTAGATCGTTCTATGTTTTCTTTGCATTTTTTTTCTGTATTGCCAATTTCTATAGTTGAAGTTTTCCTCTTGTCCCCCTTTAACTAGGTATTTACAATGTCTCCCCACTAAGATGAGTTGGGACACAAGGTCTTTTTAAGGTAGGGACCCGAGAGCGTACACCCGGGCCAGGAACAAAATTATCCGCAGCCCTCGCAACCGTCGGTTTCGCTGTCCTCGATGCGAGCACCGATCCCTCTCTCTTACGCGAGGGCGCGGCTTCGTGCAGCTGTTCCCCAGGGTTGGGCACCTCTCAGTATAATTTTCCTCAGTTGCACCTCTGTCCTTTGACGAAGCCGCCCCTAATCACACACTGCCCGAAGACAGAGACGCAACTGAGAAATGCGTCCCTCTTTAACTATATCGGTTTTTATCACATTAATTATCATGTTTTAATAATTTGAATTTGTTTTCCTCTCATTATTTCTAATGTTTCAGGTTTGTCCGACGAATTGCCACTCTCCATCAGTGACCTTTATTTATTTGGTTTAATGGGCATCTTTATACTGACGTCTCTTCTTCATATTACCGAAGTACACACCCTTTTAAACGGCATCTGGTATTTGCTGTGCATACCTTCTGGTTATCTTGTTCTGATGATTTACAGTGTGTGTAACCTGACTGACAAATCATGGGGTGAGTCAAATATTCAATTCCTTCGTTCTTTTATCATTTCAACCCAAGCAAGGCGATAAAGCTACTAAGGCACAAGTAATTACTGAGACTGAAGGAAACCGAGAGAAACTTTACTGGGGTGAAAACACAATAAAAAGGACAAGATTCAAGGAGACAGAAGATGACGATTAATATTGTATTTAATTTTATGTACATCGTAGTTGAAAGGAAAGTAAGAAGTTGGAAAAGACTTCCATAGGCGAGAAGTACGAAAGAAGGAACTATTAGAATAGGACTTGCGGTTGCATTTAATAATTTTGACAGTAAAATGATTAGGCCTAACTGTTAATTATCACACTTAAATTACTGGAATATGCATGCCAAAGTCAAAAGCTCATCAGAAAAATTGAATATATTTATAGAAAAGGTTACAGAGAAGCGATGGGAAATTGGCTGAAGCCGAAATGCCAGGTCAGGACCGATAACATGGCAGTCTTCTTTGGATTTTTATCAAAAATCTCTAAATACACAGTAGAAGCACCGGATCAGATCTCGGATGAATGGTAGACTTATAAATTCCACTTTATTACTAATCGAACCTAAAATTAACAGATAAAAAAAATCGAAAAGGTCCCAAACAAAAGGAAGGTATTTCATAAATAGTGTAACCGAGCCTGCTTTCATAATATCCCCAAATATATTTTGTTCGTGTCGTTTTAATCATCTGCGGATTGCGGTCAACTGCTAAAGAATCTGAATAGTAAAAGTCTCGATGAAATTTTAAAAATCAACAGAAATAAGTAAAGAGAAGATGAAGAGCTAGAAGAAATCCAGGAATACATCTAATGTTACAGAATACGAAGTCCAGGGCCAAAATGGTCAACGAATGTCCGAAGAGCCTCTTGGGCGAGGTATTTTGACAGTGATGGGTTGCTTTTGAACAGAGGGCCACAAGAATTCTGAAGCGACGGTAAGCCTCGTACACTCAGGTTCAAGACAGGTCTAAGACCACTCAAGGGAAATCAACACTGCCGAGACTGGAATTCGAACTCCTTAACAACTGATCCACTACATTGAAACTTTTTTTTTTATTTCATAGGAACCCGTGAAGAGCAGAGTGGTCCTTCTGTGGATAACACTGCTTGGTATACTCAACTTTGGACCTGCTTGAATGATTTTTGTCCGTAAGTTGAATCTTTCATTTCTTAAAAAATTTCAAAACCAAAATTTTTACAATCGATTAATTCAAAAATCAGACGCCACCTTCGATGATTAATAAAGATTTCTTTTTAAATCCCGTTATTTTACAGTGGAATCTTTTCACTTATCTAAACATTTTTAATCAACATTTAATCAATATCTAAAATGTGTTTTATTGTGTTATTGATACGAGCAATATTATCGATTGTCTGAAAATAAACAGGATGATTCCAAGTATTTTAACCAATTTTTCAGTAGTTTTCAAATATGCTTGGAATTCCTGCAGCCGATCTCCCCTGAGTCACTCTACCCTTAGTCTCTCCCCATTGAGTTTTTCTCCCTTGAGTTTCTCTTCTCTGAGTCCCTCTCCCCTGAGTCTCTCTCCACTGAGTCTCTCTCCCTTGAGTTTCTCTTCCCTGAGTCTCTCTCCCTTGAGTTTCTCTCTCCTGAGTCTCTCTCCCTTGAGTCTCTCCCCCTGAGTCTCTCTCCCTTGAGTCTCTCCCCACTGAGTCTCTCTCCACTGAGTCTCTCTCCCTTGAGTTTCTCTCCCTTGAGTTTCTCTTCCCTAAGTCTCTCTCCCTTGAGTCTCTCTCCCTTGAGTTTCTCTTCCCTGAGTCTCTCTCCCTTGAGTTTCTCCCCCCCCGAGTCTCTCTCCCTTGAGTTTCTCTCTCCTGAGTCTCTCTCCCCTGAGTCTCTCCCCACTGAGTCTCTCTCCCTTGAGTCTCTCTCAACTGTCGCTGAATCACAAGCGTTGGTTAGAATTCCTTTTCTGTCGGTTTGTTCAGAAAATAATATCTCAATTTTGGAAAAACTAAAAATTCGTTCACATGCAATAATTCTTTTGTCTTTAGTCAATTTTAATTATCGTCAACAACGAGAAAAACCCATTATGGAGTTAATTATTTTATTTCTTGTTGAAAGAATCTGGGATCCTAGAATAACATAAAACAATTCTGAAAATAGTGAAATAATTTGTTACCTATTTAAAAGATATTTTTCCTATTTTAAAGGTGTGTAATAATCTGATTAAAGAAAATTCTCAACGACCAAATCCAGTTCAGAGGATCAAGTTAAATGCTTTGACTTTTAGTTTTACTGCGTTTGGGCATAAATTGACATTTAGCAAAATGACACATTATAGTATAATCATCATTCATTATTGTATAATAATCCGAACTCGATTGTCATTGACAAAAAAAGAGATTCTAGGATTGCCTTGCCAATGTTTTAATAACTCGTAACAGACGAATTCTACCATAAACAACTATTTTCCAGGGACTTATGGTGATTAAATTTTGTTAACACTTCACCCCGGTCTTTTGAACCAGAGTAGAGATTTATTTATTTTTCCTTGTTTAAGAAGGGGTTTCCAGTTCCTTATAAAGTTTTCTCATTCACTTTCACGTCCAGTAGTCACCCCTCACTTGCGTCTTGGTGACATTATCGTCTTGCTTGGGGTGAATTGATTTAAAAAAAAAAAGATCTTTTTAATCATTTTATCCCAAGCAAAGCAATAAAGCCACTGAGACGCAACCGGTTACTGGGTGTGTAAGAATATGAGAAAAATATTATTAAGGAGAGAGAACAATAAAAGAAAAAGAATTAAGAAGATAGAAAATAACGATTGACATTGCATTTACATTTTTAAAGATCAAAGTTAACAGGAAATAAAAAACCGGAAAAGAGTTCTACAATCGAGAATTGTGAGATAAGAAACTGTTAGCATAGAGGTTATGGTTACATCTAGCCATTTCATCTGTAAAATGATGAGACCTAACTGCCAATCTAGTAGTACGCTTAAATTCGTAAAGTCTAGTTATGAAAGAGGAAATCTTATCTGAACAATTATCAGCAAAATATTTATAGAAAAGCCAAGGCGAAGCTACGTCACGACGGTGGGGAACCCGAGGTGCTAGGTTAGGATCAATAACATTGCAAATTCTTCTTTGTATTTTATCAAGAGTCTCAAGATACATAGTAGAAATAGCAGACTAGATGTGACAGCAATGCATTGACGTGTGTTAGACTCATAAATATGTAAGATAGATTCTGGCGAGGCAAATGGCGAACCAGATTTCCCAGTAGCAGACGTAGTGCTTGACTCAATATAACCTTTCCAAATCACATCAGCGGGAAATGTTAGTTATATGCTAACATATTTCAACAAAAAAAAGATAATAATAATAATAATTGCGTAATGGATACCTACAATTACGTTCTTGATAAATAGATTTAATTATTATTTAAATGGGATTTTATTTCCTCTCCAAAAAATGCAACATTAATTTTTGAGAATAACAACATTTATTATTGGTGAATATTTTCTTTTCGAAAGCTGTTTCAACCAGTCGAGTCCTAAACTAATTTCCCAGGCTTGCCAAACGAGTAAGAAGCAAATGAACAAAACCGAAACGGATAGTGAAGATGAACCGGAAACAACGAAGCAGAATTCACCGGAAATAGCAAAATCGTTTTTCCCCCCAGGTAAGAAGGCGATTATTTAGTTTATTTTTTGTCATTTTCAATAATTGCACATGAAAAACATTATAATTTTTCCACGTATTTATTTCATCTTCATTTTAATCAATTTTCATCGCAATTATCCAGACCGTTAATCCACCGCCGTCAATGAACAGCACGGATTAAAAACAAGAAATAAACACTCTAACTCATTCCCACTGATTAAGGAAGCTTGTTAACCATAACATCTGCTCTGCCGATTGAGCAATAAAAACTTTATATATGACAGCGTCTCAAATCTAACAATATAATCATACTCTTTATCATTCGATAAAGAGTATCGAGTTCCACTCTCACCAACGACTTTATTCTTCCAAGTACTCCATTTATCATGGGTACAATCATCAATTTGGTATTCAACAAATCTTTCTAACTCTCTCGTAAGATCGGAATATTTATCCTGTTTATTTTGGAGTGATCACAGGGTTATATCTAAGTTAGAAAAACATATATACAGGGTGCGATGGGTAAATTGTCGCCATTTTATATTTTTAGTTTCATGCATGCGCATTAGTTGTTTTCGATTTGGTCGTTTGCACAGTATGGTAGGGTACAGTCAGTGAGAAAAAGAGTACCATAACGCAATTCACTAAGTCAGTAATTTCGAAACGGCATGCTGCACTGATTGGCATTCGCGCCAAAAGCTCCAATACGAACATTTCAAAGTGTTTGGGTGTCAATCTGAGGACAGTGCAGAGGATTCGTAAAGAGTTGGATGAGTCTAATGGTGATTACAAAGGTGTTTAGAGTGATCACTAGTGATGGTGATATTATTTCCCATTCATCTTTCCAGAAGGGCTTCTATATATACATATTTGAACAAACAATTTTATTCATGTCTGAAAAATTTACGATTAATGTAAATACGTAAACATAAGAAAGTAAATAAATGAAGCAAGCAGAGCATAAAACAAGTAAATAATCGCTCACATACATCGAAACAAGTTTAAGGATCGCAAAAAAAATTCTCCTTTTCTCTGCACAGAGATAGTTGCTGCAATTTAAGGCAAATGGCGTCCAGAAGTAATAAATGGTAATTGGAAACCTGCCTGTATGCAGAATAGAAAATGAGTTTGTCGTAAAACGTGATGAACATATGTCATTTTCCAAAAGTTGTTGCCCAATTGCTGAATCTCTGAACGGCCATGTAAAATGAAACATTACATTGGTTTTTGTAGAGGATTTAATTGTATTGGTTTTAGGATTATTGGAAACCATGAGGTTGTTTTAAATTTGTTTTAAATTTGTTTTTAATAAATGATGAGCTTAACTTGTTTATTATTATTAATGGCTTTAACATTTTTACCTATTATGTTTTTGAATGTTGTTTCATCATATTTGTAATTATTATGCATTTGGTTACAATAGTATTAGTTAATAGTATTATCTTTATTTTGACATACATTATTATGGTTACAATTATTATTAATATTATCAATTTTATTATTGGTATTTATCTATTTATTTTCTTTTGTTTTGATTAGGACCTAGGCTACCTTTCAGCCAACGGTTCTTCGGGGACTGATCTTTAGCAAAAACCTGATTTAATTAGACTGTAAATATGCGGGAAAATTTTAGAAGATAAGGCTGGAACACGTCTAAAAAAATTTACGATTAATGTAAATACGTAAACATAAGAAAGTAAATAAATTTTGTCCAATTACTTCTAATGACAAGATTATGGTCTCATTTGACAGCGTGAATCTTTACAATGACGTCTCCTTAGACTGAATAATGGCGGAGATGGTCCCAAAAAACTTAAATCAAAGAACAGAACAAACGTGAACCTTGAAGAGTTTATTCAAAATTTCCATCTTGGTTTACAACATATTATTCGAAAATTGGCAAAAGGCAGTAAAAAATGAAAGAAAACTTCACGTTTCCTATAAACACCTATTTTTTTTAATTTTGTCTACAGCAAGATTTCCTTCAATGTCTACATTTATATAAGTCTATTACATATCGGCCATGTTAGACATTCTGCACGTCTTTATGTCCTTCCTATCTGATAAATAAATAGAGATTAGGATGACATTGTTTATCTCTATGAATTAATTCCACATGTGTCAACTTGTACGTAAATCTTAGGTTTATCTAAACAAGCACGAACACACACGCACACACAACACACACATATATGTGCGTGTGTTTGTGTATGTGTGTTATTTTTTACAGCGAGGTTCACCCTTTACAAGGCCCGTGGGACACTCTAGGTAGAGGGTTACGTTTAGGGGCCATTTATGTGTATAGGAATGGAAAATAACGGTTAACCCTAGCCTTGAACAGGTTAAGTTTGTAATGATAGTGGAAATATCGTCTTGGGATTCGGTTCCACAGGGCAAGCGATCTCAGGAAGAAGCTGTTTGAGTGGAACTTACTTCTTACTGATGGAATACAGAGGGAATGTGAGTGGTTTGATACAATGTAAGTGGCATGGCGTGTTCTTGCTGTGAAGGTTTGCTTCGCCGGGACCCGGGAATATAGTTCGTCCGAGCACTTTCTGTGTTTGAACTCTGTCAAGGCTGGAAAATGAGATATGGGCAGCTTCCGCCCAAATATGACAACAGCGCTCCATTCTCGGTCTGTTCTGGCTCTTGTAAAGGTAGACGATAGCATGAAGAGTCGGATACTTCCTGGAGCGGTACAGAGAACCGATCAGTTTGCCTGCAACCTTAGCAACGGCTCGTATGTACAAGTTCCACTTGAGGTTGTGTGTGAGTTTTTCAAAGCAACGCGCTTTCCCGAGAGGACCTCCGTTCAGCCTGACTGCAATCGGCAATGATGAAATGTAACTAGCTTGGTCTTCGAGGCATTGAATGTAACCAGCCAGTTTTTACACCAGTGGGTAGTTTATGCAAGATCGGCAGAAAGTTTCAGAGTTACGCCCATATACACTTGTATGACCGGCATAGATGTTTACAAATAATCTGAGTATATTCTTGGGCAGATCGTTTATATAGATAAAAAAAAGGGTTGGTCTGATTAGTGACCCCTGGAGGACGCCTGCGTTGACCTCTAGAGCTCCAGAGAATTCGTCATTAATAACAACCTTACGGGACCTACTTGAAAGGACGGATTTTATGATCGAGAAGATCCATCCAGCGATTCCATAACTGGAGAGCTTGTGTAGTAAGCCCTTGTGCCACACCTTTTCGAAGGCCCTTGAGATATCTAGTGCGATGGCCCTCGAAGTGTGTTTGTCGTCAATAACTTCACTGATTCTGTGAATGATGGTAGTTAAGACGACGGCTATGGATCGAGTCTACCGAAGCCCATACTGCTCGTCGCTGAAGTGGCTGTTCTTTTCTAGGTGTTCGACGACCATTTTACTGAGGAGACTGATGGGTCTATACTGGGAGGGGGGAATATCGTTCTCCCGCGTTCTTGACAACAGGTCATAGGCTTGATACTTTCTACAGGCTTGGGAAGGATGTCTACTTCAAGCCGCGGTTGAATAACTTTGCTAGGATTGGAGATAATTCCGGGTCGATATTCTGAAGGCCAACCATTAGAATTTTGTCTTGGCCAGTGGCTTTTTTAGGGTCGATGTCTTTGATAAGTCTAGAAACTTCTCGAGCTGTGATGGTTATATTACTAAGATTGTGCTCAGTGAGACTTGGGAACTTGGGAAGAGGATGGTCTTCGTCATCTAACGTTGACTTAGAGGTAAAGATGGTATTTATCAATCCACCCACGGGGATCATCAGTCGAGGCCTTTTTTTAATGGGGTATCTCTGACCCCGTAGGCCCAGCCAAAAAATAATATAATTGTGGGCAGATCCGCTTTACCTCTGTTCATGATTTGCTTGTTAATCTTCCAGAATTCACGGGATTCTTTTCAACCTTAGTCTAGACTGCTCGTGCGTACCTGCACTTGGCGTTTTCTAGAACTTTTTTGAAGCGATTGCGAGCAGTTCTGAATACAGTGAGGGACGAACTGCATCGCTCCTTACGACAGATATTGCTGTAGTGGTCTCTGTGATTTATGGCAACAGCGCATCCAGGGGTGAACCGATGTTGACTGTTTGGCTTTTGGTGGAATTTTGGGGTATAAAACTCTCCATTCCAGAAAGGATTCAATCAGAGACAAGGGCAGCAGTTTTTGAGGCAGTATGCCTGAAGAAGGTTGGAATGGGTTCTTTCATCAGGTAGGATTGAAAGCTGTTCCGGTCTGCCTTCGCATAGCGAAAAATAGTTCTATGGAACGGTATATCAGGGAATGCCTTAAGTTTAGCATCAATCTGAACACTGATTATGGACTGGTCTGATGTGCCTAATGAACTTTTAATAAGAATTCATCAGGACAGGAGGTTAGGAAGAGATCGAGGAGGTTCGCCTGATGTCCAGTCATGCCCGGGAGCCGTGTAGGTTCTTCAATGATCAGGGTTAGCTCATAAGTGATGGAGACGTCTCTACCTTCAACATCGGTTTTCCTGGAGGTGACAAGCCACTCTTTATGATGGAGGCCAAGGGGAATTCAATCAATATATATATATATATATATATATATATATATATGTGAAGAAATATAATCTTTTATACGTTCGAAAACAATAACACATTTCTCATAGCATTTTTTCGGATTACATCTCTATTTTCGTTGTCCTCTTATTACCGAGAAGTAAAAACAAGAACAAAATCTATTTCCATACCTGAGGATGTCTGTAGGAACAGACGAAAGCTTGTAAAAAATTAAAAAGACCTTATGCAACTGGAATTTATAAACAGGGATCATATCATTCATATACAGGTTTGGGGTTGGTGTATGTTATTTATATTGTTTGCGAAGATGTATTCTCGCCATTTAAATCATTAACCTCTATATTTGTTTTTTGTATGAATGATTAATGAATTTATAAATTATAATTGCACCTTTAATTGAAATATATATATATATATATATATATATATATATATATATATATATATATATACACGGTGGTCTGAAAGGCTTATCATCCCCTATCAAAAAAGTAATCAGAAC